CTTAGACAGCTACCTATGTAAACAGCGGCTACTTAGAGAGCTCACTAGGTTTTGAGACTCACCCGTTGTTAGTACAGAATGAGTCTGTGACCTCTAAACAAATGTTTTATCAAAAATTAAAGCTTAAGAAGTCGCCAGTTTCTTGTTAATTTAGCAAATGCCCTGGGGAGCCGGACCTAGCACGTCTGCTTAAGCCGCCATTACAACCGGAACTTGTGTACTGGCTAACAACAAGGCTGGGTTGACCTTATTTTGCAATGTTATTAAATTCAGTTTTACATTTTGTGGATGTTTGCAGACTGTTCATCTGGCCTGCCACCACTGAAATTAATTCTAGAGGAAACACTGTACTGCACCTCAAAAAGTCAGAGAGAAGATGTCAGCGTAGTACAGCACGACAGTTTTGCTCGTATTTATGATTTGCTACAATGAAACAAGGCGCATTGCCAAGGATGCAATGTTAAGGACAAGATTAAGTCATCAAGAGCTACGTGCTGTGAACTATTCTATATGTTTCATGAACGATTTTTCAGTTCTACCTCAACAAACTAATGCACTGGTACAACATTCACACAGTGGCATCATTATGGTTAGTGTTAGCTCATCTGAATGGGCAGCCTCTGTTAGTCAGACCTTACCCAACACAAAAACCTGACATTCAACCCACAGTGACCAAAAGATAGCTCAAGCTTTTGAATAATAAAACAAGTACACCTCTCTTTGACGCTAAATGATCCTTTTAGTAACTTATTTTAGCCAGCTAGCACCATCGCACCAGTTTACCGTTCACATATCAAAAATAAGAACTATGTTTCGTTCATATATCAGCCAAACCCTTCTTTCCATTTTCTTCCCCACGGTTAAGTGATTATCTGTTCATCAACTCTTACGGATATGGATGTCCATTAATCAGAATGCACAGGCCTCATTTTTATACTCTTACTAAACACAAATGTCTATTTATGGATTATGTGTGTGCATCTTGTGTAACAAGTGTAACAGGAGACCCTTTGAAGGTGGTAATGTTTTAGTCATGTATGATGCCACTACATAAATCTTCACCTTGACATTACATAACAACCAGTGCAGACAAGGAATGTGTATGACTGGAGGGAGGGAGGGATATAATTTAGATCGCTTAAAAGAGAATGCACATGAGAGTACGTGTGTGATGATCTAATCTTTCTAACTCTCTTCCTTTGCCAGTTTCGCCCCTCATGGGACGCCCCTGTGAGCCAAAATATACGCCAAGAGGGCTTCTAACCTGCCCACTCTCATAGTGCAGGCCAACCAATGAACTACAGAATGCTGTGTGTGTGTGTATTTGTGTGGACTAGAGATGGCATCCAGCACTTTCTGCTGATATCTGGCCAATATGATACCTGTCAATACTCAGAATGATGCCATCGCTAGTGTGAACTGTGCTTGATAGTTTCACAATATCCATCACCTGAAAAAATTTACTGTCAGCTCTGGATCATTTTTAACCATAGCAGAGGATTCCAACCATCAGCCCATAACAGCAAAGATTAAAGCCGCAAACATTTTCAGGAACAAATGTCCTGACTTTGTTGGAAAACCAAAGAAAAACAAGCAAACCTACAGGAACAACCAAAAGCTCCTGACTTTATAACGAGCTTTTTAAAAGCTTCATTTACTCTGAGGGTTAACTCTTTAAACCTTAAAACCACCTATAATTGTGTGATGGACCACTCTGAACAACTGGCGTGTGTAAAAACTCCAGCAAACATTGCTGTGTCTGATACACTCATCAGTACAGCCATATTAGTGTCACTGATGTGCTGAGAATAGTCCACCACTCAAATAATACCCACAGCACAGAGCACCAGTCCTGTGGTCAGAAACTGACCAGCGATGAACAGGGTAGATAAACTGTTCATGACAACCAACTGGCTACACTCCATAATTAACTGTAATAGTGTGCCTAATAGAGTGGACAATGGATAGTGAGTGAAAAACTCCAGGGGCACCAATGAGTCTGATCGACTCGTACCAGCACAACACACACTAACACACCACCAATACATCAGTGTCACTTCAGTGCTGAGAAAGATTAACCACCCAAATAATACCTACTCTATGGTGGTCCGGTGGGGATGACCTGACAAAATGGACAAAGACTGTAGATACAAGGAGGTGTACTTAAGTGGCCGGTTGGTGTGTGTATAACACATGCTGCCACTTTAAGGAATCACTTGTGTTATAAATATACTGCAAGGCATATCATAATCACAAAATTTGCCAATATGATTGAAGTTGTAGTATTTTGTGGATATTGCACTTACATAGACATGAGAGAGAAAGGGAGGGCAAGAGTGAAAGAGAGAGCCAGGAACAGGGAGACAGACAGAGCTGCTGGGTAAATTCTTTCCTCTCTCTAGAAATATCCACTTTGATTTATTGGTCAAGTGAGAGAACAACTGATGCCAAACAAGATGGCTGACAGCATGTGGCCTGCTGCCCCGTGTGACGCGTATGCCCACACACTCCTAAACCCTGCCACAGTTCAGCGTGAGAGGTGTCAAAAGTGCAAGTCATCTTTGCAGCGTGAGTGTTCAGTGATCCTCAGAGGAAACTCTTTCCAGGAGCAGGACTCTCATCAATTTGTCTGTTGCACTGGAACACGGTAACCAGCTTCCCACCGAGAGACACTGAGACACTAATAACAATTACATAACTTACTTTATTTTTATGTTTGAGTCAGTTTTTCCTCCCAATTTTAGTCACTGCCAATTCCACCTGCTAGTTAGGTCTCACCCATCATTCAATTCTACCAAACTGAGAGGGTGAAGGCTGGCAGGTGCCACCACATCTTTTCAGGCTGCTGCAAACACAATGTCACTGGTCAGCTCAACATTCTTGGTGGAGAACACTAACTGCTAATTTCAATACGTCAAGACGCCCACATTGACTAGTGAGTGAAGGGGGAGTGGGAAGACCATCCTACCACTCCAGAGCCCAGATTGCAACATTGCTGAATGTGTTTGGGATTATTAGGATTGCAAGAAGCAGAAAATGCAGCAACTTCTAAGATTGAACTTTAGAGGTGTGGAAAAATATTCCTGCAGATATTTTTGAAAAACTGAAAGAGTCTCCTGAAATGAATGGAAGCTGTAAAAAAGGCACAGAGTGGACACACTAAATAAAAATAACCAATATTATATTGGTTGTTGAGGCTTCTGTTTAATTTTCTGTTAAATATTAATGTTTTCTGTTTTTTTCTGATGCAAATAACTTGTACTTACTGTTTGTTTTTACTGGAAATTAAGTAAATGAAGACATTTTTGCACAGTATTGTATACACAGAATAGACTAATTAAGTCAACAGCAGTTCTGTTCTCTGAAATTAATAATTAAATTTTCCCATTAATCAGCAAATATCATTTGGTAATGCATCAAAAACTCTTCGTTCTCTCACTGATTTCTTCATCTTCTTTCTTTTGTTTGTCTCTCATTGTCTCTCTCTCTGTTCCTTTCTCTCTCTAAGCTCACTGCTCTCATTACTCTCCCCCCTCATTACCCCCTGCAGTCATCCTTGGAGTTTGTAGGTCAGATGTGAGGGAGTCGATGTGAGAGAGGAAATCAACCGTTGAGGTGGTGTGTGCGCTCCAGAAACCAATCACTTGAACAGAATCCTGAGTGGGTGACAGAGTAGGAGTGTCTGGCCATTGGCTGGGCATTTCTGCTGAGTCACTCAGTGTCTAGGCGTGTGTTTTTGCGAGGTCAGCAGTCTGGACTGTCTGTCAGGGTTCTCCATACGGCTGCTGTCTGTTTCAGTCGACTGCTAGTGAGTACAAGAGTACCCACCTGTTCTTCCCCACACACCCCCCCCCAAAAGTGTGAGAGAAGCTATTCTGTTGGCATGCTGCCAGATTTCACTATTCACAAACAGCACCGATACAGTGCAAACTAAGTTACTGGCCAACTGACCTTCCCAAACTCTGCCCACAAATGCATTCTTTCAAGCAACTGTCTTTAGGTAGGGAAAGTTTTTACAACAAGCTGGTAGAAGTCTCAGTAGGGGTGGGTGATATGGAAAAAAATATATCACAATACTTCAAAACATTCTCACGATACACATCACAATATTTAATTTCTCTGGGATTTTATAAGTTGGGACAGACAAAATAGAACATGTAGCGCAATATTTAAAAATACTATAATGATAATAAAAAACCTGGTATAATAATGTCTGATTAAGCTTACTTTAAAAAACGTAGCGACTCAGTGTTCTTTAAGCACTGGCGACATCCACAATGTGGTCAAAACTGTATTGTGCGTACTGTGAAAACTGATCAGGAGACCGATAAAATATCATATTGCCTACACCTAATTCCTAGTCAATCCAATATGGGCACACAACTCAGGTAGTCAAAATGCATATATTTTAGGATTGATATCAGAATTATACTGGTATCGACAGATTTTTTCTGGAAAAAAATGTATTTACACACACACACACACACACACACACACACACACACAGGTATCAGCATGGCCACAAATGCACATGAACAGTATACACTGGCTTTGTTAAGAGTTTTGGGTCATATGAAGGCTTTGATCATAACATTCTCCCCATCACACATCGCATGTACATACTTTAATCAACATGAGGCTTGTTCACACAGCAAGAATGACCTTTTATAAAATTTAACCCAATACCATCCATAACACCACACAGAAATGTTAACCTAAAACAAATACTGAACCAACTCACGCTATCGAAACAGAAGACCCTAAGATACAAGCCTAAAATACTAGGGAAGCATTGATATGGGAATTCTGAGACAATGCAGATAGACAGTGTTTCTCATGTACATATCTGCTGATGCTAATGCTGCAGAAATTGGTACTAGAAACAAATGGCTTAGCATTATAAAGAAATGCAACATTTATTTCTGCAGGGTTACAAATGCAGTGCAGTCTCTCTCTGAGAAAATAAGCAGACACGAAAAACAGGGCAGAAAGACACTCGCCTTGTCTCCACTGGAGTAGAAGAAGTATCGGAGGCGGACAATGTTGCAGTGGTCCAGCTTCCTCATGATCTGAAGCTCACGGTTCTGCAGGGAATAAGAGAAGAAACACAGGAAAAGGCTGCCTTTTAGCTTGCTCATCATAATACAGTACATCTAACATTTGATGAAACATGAAACAAACAACTCATCACTTTATAGGTACTAGAAAAACACTGGATCACTTGGTTAGATGTCAATTTTGTCATTTAGCCCTGATATTTTACACTGATAGTGTCAGTAGGAAACCCTATTAGCTGCAACTGACAACTATTGCTTATATTACTTAACTATTATGCTTTATTAGTTTCCTCTCCTTGTGTTGCCATTTACACTGGAAGTTCTCTGCAGCAAGTGATTTTTTTTTCTTACATGTGGCAACAAAATATTCCACCCTTCCCATAACTGGCATTACCTTTACAACCCTAGAAAATACACAGTCTTTCTGAAAGGCAGTAAGACTGGCTTTGTTTCTTGATTAGTTTCTAGTCATGCACCACTGTTTAGACACCACACCACAAATGACCCCTATACAAAAACCCCTTTAACGTGCTCAGTAACAAGAACACTGTACTGCCCGCAGGCTGAACACACAGAAGCTGCAGGTCAGTTTCTGGGCTCATTTGTGACAAGCCGAGTGGACCAGAATAGAACCGACGCAATGGGCCGGAACCATGGCAACCAGTCTCTGACAGACACGCCCTCTGAGCCACACTGGCTGATATGGAGACTGTATTTAGCACACCACCCACACTGAGAGAGAGAGAGAGAGGGAGAGAGCGAGAGAGGGAGAGAGCGAGAGAGCGAGAGAGCGAGAGAGAGAGAGAGAGAGAGAGAGAGAGAGAGAGAGAGAGAGAGAGAGAGAGAGAGAGAGAGCGAGCGAGCGAGCGAGAGAGCGAGCGAGAGAGAGAGAGAGAGAGAGAGAGAGAGAGAGAGAGAGAGAGAAAGCAACAGAAACATCACATTCACAGTGATTAAGGGAAACGAAGGAAATGCAGAGGTGGGTTATTAAAATAAATCCTGTTAGAATCATCGAAAGCTGAATATATCAAGCACATTTCTAGGCATTCTCCACTGCAGCTGTACAGTGTGGGCTGTTCAGCAACAGTGACGGAAGCAGCAGCAGAACAGATCACTGTCAAACACTAGTCACTCAGCACGAACACATAGAAATAATATGCTATATAGACCACATATGGCCCAGATAATCACACATTCAATGGAAAACCTAAACCGACCATTTCGTAGACAGCCAGATAGATAGATTGATCTATAGCTCGATAAACAGACCGACAGACTTTACAGATGCAGACAGCCAGCCAGACTGACAGCTTTCCAAAAAATAAAAAACAAATATTTTAGTTGATGCTGGAACACTGCTGTGAGGATTTGATGGCATTTAGCAAGGTCAGGTACTGATGCTGGACCATAAGTTCTCTATCACAAACATCACTCCAGCTCATCCCAAAGGTATTGGATGGAGCTCCATCACTTCAGAGAACACAGTTCCACTGCTCCCCAGCCCAATGCTGGGGGGCTTTATACCCCCCCCTCGCCGATGCCCGGCATGGACACGGTGACCTTAGACTCAAGTGCGGCTGCTCCAGAGCGCCCCATTCTATCAGTCAATGCATTTCTATGGAGATTAGACAAGCTGTGTTTGCGCACAACTGAACACCTGCGTCAGCATTGGGCGCAACTTAAAGTAGCTCAATTCAGTAATTAGAAGGGCCGTCTGGATCTCGGACGAACAGTGTCAGTAGATACATGGCTAGATAGTTAGGTAGAGTCTTTGTTCAGCAAGAAGAAATCTTTAACAGTCTGTGTTGCACATGCACAAACCACAAGGGCAGACACTAAGACCCACAGATTATATACATCCGTGTGGGTGTATGTGATAGATGAAGTCTATAAAACAGGTCTAGGCTTAAGCTTTAAGACTGGTATGCCCTTTTAAGCATGTTATTCTTCTCACCACCTGACTCCTTCTCTCTATGAGATCATTTGGCTTTGTGGTTTTCCATGTCGCACAGCCAGCACACCACCATTACAATTAATGTGTCAGTGCACACGTGCAGACACCTCAGCACACATCTATACACAGATCCCCAAGCACATAATGCAGTCATACTGCTCATAAGAGGAAACATATCTTCCAAGTTTTAACACAGCTAAACTGTAAAGAAGCAATATTAATGAGTACAGCTGCTTTTACATTATGAAGTTAGACTGTCAACGGCAAATCAAACAACAGCGCAACACGGCTGTCAACTGAATGCTCACCAAGTCTTCAAAATTCCCAACTTTTGCCGTGAACCGCAGCAATGGAATGAAACAGATGTTTACTGTTTGGGGGTACGGAAACTAAACATCTTAATATTGAATTCCAGGTGCACTGAGATGTTTCCCCCACCCTCCGCACCCCAAACACGAACATGTTTCACATCTCTTACTTCTTCCTTTATTTCATTAATGTTCTTTTCATTTATCCTTATTTCATCTTATTTACTATCTTAGTTACTATCTTCTTGTAATTTTAATGGTTTATTACTACTATGATTACTATTACTTTTTAGCATTTGTTATGTTTTTGCTATTTAACTTCTCAATCCTTCTCTGTATTGGCTCAGCTACACTGTAAATTAGGGTTTCCTTCAATGTACTCTGAGTTTAGATAAAAGGTTGACTGATTGCTTGCTTGAAATGCAGCGTAACAGAGGAAATAACATCAAACTGTGCATAGATGTCCTACTGGAAAATCACTATCATAAAATAACAAAACCTTAATTCATAAAGGCTATGACACCACCTAGTCACTGGCCAAGGCTGAGCAAACGCTGATCATTGTCTCAGTGATAACTCAGCAGGCTAGTGATAAAGGTTTATTCAGGTAATACTTAATTTGCAGGCTACCTTAGATGCCAGTTTTATAGAACAATTCCTGGATATTTATGAACAGCTTACGCCAGTTATTACATGATGACAAGTCTTATGAAGATAATTACACTGTACTGGCGTAAGAGAACTTGGTAACACTGTTGTATTTTGAGTGGTCCTGTTTAGATGAAACAAACACTCAACACACTTTCAGTAACGTCAAAAACATATGAGGGTTAGGATTAGGTTTTGAGTTGAGGTTAAGGTTAGGATTAAGGTCAGGGTTAGGTTGTGGGTAAGGTTGGGTAAGGTTAGGTTCTGTGTAATGGAACATTAACACTAACAAAACATCTTCTTAATGTAAGTAATGTATCAACAGAACATCTACAAGATATTTATTTTAGTGTATTCAGAAGCTTCACTACTGCTACTTCACTGATATGTTGATGTGTTGCTGTTAAGAGTTTATTAATTATCTACAAAACTCCAGATAAAGTGTTACCAGGAACCTGAACTAAAGTGACTGACATTTGTCCCATTTATAACACTGTTATGAAGCATCATTTCTAGTGATGAACCTTATAAAGAAGACACCTTTTATCAGTTCTATGGACGATTCTGACACCCTTAAAACTATAAAAGTAGCCTTCAAATAAAGTATTATAGATCATTTTCTGACTGTGTCCAAATGAGCCTGGCTGTTGTAACCAATCAGACAACTTAGAATGGCACATTCTGGCACATGATAAACACCTTTAGCTACAAATTTAATGCCGGAAAGGCAACTGAAAGCATTTCTCATTCTCAATGAACGAGGTGGTTTAAGAGTCATTGATATCTCCAGTTGCTATGCGGAAGGTCAGTTCTGCAATCTGACCGAAAATTGAAGAGAAGGGCACTTCATTAAAGAGTGAATGCACCGAGAAGCGAGCGTCAGTGTGACGGTTGAGAGTGAATGGTGAAGTTGCCATGGTGACAGAACTTGATGTGATTACTGGATGATGAGTTTAATATGTCAAGCAGAGAGAGAGTGATGGGTATGAGTTTGGGTGGTGGAGTCTAACGTAAGCCTGAAAGACATGATAAAGTGAACAGAAGACAGCAAACATAGGTGTCTGTTAAAATATAAAACAAGCCACTGAATACTGGTGTTTATGGGAGGAACTATTACAGATACTGATACATGCAAAAGGCACACAACATGATCAACTCCCACATACAGTATATGTGACCTCTAATGGAGAGAAAAAAACTGAATTAAAACTCAAACATCATTCAAAATTTCTCATCACAGTTACTGAGGACAAAATACAGACAATACAAGGCCGTCAGTCGCTCAGTAACTTAGCAGGTGCTTTCATTCGGATTGTGGGGTTTTATCCCCAGATGGTGGTGGTCAAGTTTGGGTCAGGTTTAGAGAGAATTCTGTTGGGCTACAGTCGGGTTCAAATTCAAAACTTCCAGCCAGGTCAGCGCAAACTCAGGCGAGACCCAATTACAGCCGTATACCACCACCATCTGTGGTCAAGAGTCAAGGACAGCACAGTTAGCTTTGGATGGGAAGGATGACTTTGTCTCTCTCCTGTTGAACTCCAGCAGTGCTTTCAGTCTTCCGCAGCTTTCTCACTGCTCAAGAAAGAGAGCATTTCTCTCCTCCAACCTCTTTCTGCGTCTCACTCATTTGCTACCATGCCACACTCAAAGAGAAGCCAAAATCCTAAAATAACCAGCAAATAATAACTTATTTTTATTATTCAAGGCCAGACTGTCCCAGGAACTTTCTGTAGGTCTGTATTTCACCTCATCCCTTCCTCATGCTTCTCCACCTGTCCTTGTGCATCTTACTGTAGCCTTGCAAGCCAGACATCTGGCTATCATTAGAAGGTCTGTTGGGTTTTGTCCCTAAATGTGGCCAAGAACAAAATAGCTTCACAGGAATGGGCCATTTGACTGACAGGCAGAATTTTATAACATGCAGAGGTTGATGACGGCCCTATAACAAAGACAGACTTGCATGAAACAAGTGGTGCTAACTGTGACCAGCTAGCATTTATGTTGATAGACAAAGGTTTGTTTAAAGTTGTTAACCATGGATGCACTGACTAAAATCTTACCTTAAATCTCTTGTCCTGCAGGACCTTCTTGATTGCCACCAGTTCTCCTGAGTCGCAAAGCTTGGCCTGGTAGACAACACCGAATGAGCCGTTGCCAATGACCTTGGTATCTGTGTAGCTGACCTCCTGCGGCCTGTCGGGACCCTGGCCTGGGGTCGCCACCACTGTGGTCACTTTACTGCCATCCTTATCTCCTACAGCACAGAACAGATGAGACAGAGTCAGTCTATAAACAGCATACACAGGCAGAATCAACTGGCAAGGCTCTCTCCATCTGAGCAGAGCAAACCAGACTAAGGGTCTTTATTTTTTATTTGTTTGTTTAGGAGATGACAGTAAACACAGACATGCACAACCAGTGAAAATGAGTATACTGTTGACTTAAGGCTTCATTGGACCCATCCAATTTTGAAAAGCAGTAAGAAGTATGGCTCATTATTGGTATTAAAGGTGCTGGATAATAGACAATTCAATCCTTGCCAAATATCACTCTTTAATCCATTTTCTAAATGACCCAATGTTGCAGAACATCATTTTCAGTCTTAGTATGCAAGCAGTTAAAGTACTCAGTGTAAAGGTGTTAATCAGTGATGAAGTGTAATACTCCACTGAATGTCATAAGCCCTGTGATATGACATGGTAGCAGTCCAGCAGTCATAAATTTTGGCCCAAGGGGTTACAGATTAGATGGCTGTTACATCCTTCATCAAGTTTCCTAAACCCATGACCTCCAGGGAGAACAGACACTTCAAGCCAGCTAGCGCAACTCACTTTGAGCTAAATAAGTAAACCATAAAAGTAAAAGCCTGAACATGAGCCAACTTTTAGGCTTTTAGCTTATAAGCAAAGGCATGCGTGCTGCCTGCACTGACCTTACAGAACACAAGGCACGTGAAGAATAATCCTAGGTGTGGCTTATAAGAACCGTACAGAGGACTTGGAGGAGCTTTACATTCTTTAAGTGCAGGGTACTTACAGGAATCTTTGAAATATGTTCAGTGACCTATAGAGCTCTACAGAAATGTGCCAACAGTGGGCCAGTTCATCCGGACACTAATGTTCAGAGATACATGTAGTAAAAAATGTGGTTGTGGCAGTAATGATAAAATTCAATAATCGCAATATTTTCCAAATATATCACAATGTAACGGCATTACATGATAATGTTTGCATTAACCTTTTAAACTCCAAACTCCAAAATGCACTTCATCATATTCTTCATAACTTTCATATTTCATAAGCTACATTTAAAAGGTGGGTGTCGTATGAGAGCTGAAACTGTCTTCTTTCCAGTCAAATAGATGGGTAATGTAATTTTAAACCCTTGTAGTAAAAGAAGCTGAACTTTATTATTTATTTATATAGCACCTTTCACGCACTGTGGTCATTCAAAGCGCTTTAAAAATGAGAAAATACAAAGACAATTACAAATCAAATTTAAAGTTAAATTTAAAGTAAAATATATATATTTAACACAATCAGTTTTGACTTTGTCACTCCAAAACCAGTCAGTAGACTTTGAGCTCTCAAACAACCTCTATACGGCTGTCATTTTAGCATCACTCAGCTTGAACCAAGCCTGTGCTGTGGTGTGTGGCACGTGTGAGAAGATCTGATTTTGGCTTTGTCACTCCAACACTAGTCACTCAACTTTTGCTCTCTCACACATTAGTTTTTTATAATATACATTTGTTGCAGCAGATCAGCAGTCAGAATCAAGCCTGTACTGCACTGTGTGGCCCTGTTGGGCATCTAGCCTGCACGCTAAGCTAACATTAAGACTACAGATCTACAGCTACACCACCAGGCAACAGGTTCAATTTCGCCTTTCTGTCCCTTCAGTGCCAGTTACTCAACTTCACTGCCTCAGATTTGAACTGATCTAAATTGTGTCACGTTTTAGTTAGTCAGAATCAAATAAGTTCTGTGGTGAGCAGAGCTGTTATCATGCTAGCTAAGCTGATGCTAACCAGCTCCTCTCTCCTAGTTAGCAGCACTGTTTAATATTTATCAATTGTTAGATAGTTTAGCATTTATTGAAAGACGGTTTCACTTACTTTGGTGACCATGTAAGCAAACCTTTTGAATATTTTTTTTATTTTATAATATGAGCCTAAACAAAAGCAACAAAAGCTTTTACATTAGTAGATACTGCCCATCCCTAATTTACAGGGATTATTAGTGCTCCACAGTGGTCTTTCTTGAAGTCATCCATGGAAGGTGGGGCTTAAGACATGTAAGGTGCAAAAAGTACAGTAGAAGGACTGTGTGTGTGTGTATATGTGTGTGTGTGTGTGTGTGTGTGTGTGTGTATATGTGTGTGTGTGTATATGTGTGTGTGTGTGTGCGCACCGCAACAACTGGCAGTGTTGGTAGTGACTCTGTGCTCCAGACTGCGGTTCAAAGTCCTTGCTAACCCTGTTAAAGGTTAACTGTCGGCCCCGAGCCCCTTCCTAACATACACTGAGACCAACCCTCACTCATTCCTATACACAGTGAGTAAAAGACGTTAATTAATACAGCTTTCAATAAAACTGTCCCTGGAGTAGTCTAAAGAGGCTGGATCCCCAAACAACCTGCCTCGTTTTACGTTAAGTATTGTTTAAACACGAACGAACTTGAAATTACTCCCATAAGCACACTTTACAATGGTGATATAGAAGTAACCTATCAGAATGGTCACGCTCCAGAGTACTACTCTCCCTCTCATTCTCTCACACACAATTCATCTTCCTTTTCCTCCTGAACCTGAAACTCGGCCAACCAGCCCCAGCTGTGCGGCTATACACCAACCCGGCCATTTCCCTGTCGTTTCCATGGCAACAAAGACCTCTCCGAGATGCTTTGGCCCACTTCCTGAAGTCACACCGCCAGAACATGCAGACACGCATACATACATGCACATGCATGTAGCCATCAGTCAAGCATAACGATGAGATACAAATCTAAAACCAGCAGCAGCAGCAGATTCCTCACATCTCACCAAAAACGCAGCTCACAAAAGCATTCCCTAAGTGAAGAGAGGAAAGAATGATCTTGTGGTCCTGCCACGCTGTCGGACTGGTTATGTGAGCTTAGTAGGCGCCAACAGCACGAACAGCAACGGGAGAAGAAACACATTACTGGTGATCAGAACGATCTAGGCCTGTCATTAGAATTTAATATTTCCTTATGATTAACTGCTTTCAAAATTTTCAAAATTTCAATAAACAAAGTAATTGAGCTGGTTTTGATCTGGGATACAACATTGTAGAGAAAGTTACTGACTTGTATTTTCATTGTATGGACCTATTAAAGTACAGGCCTTGCTTTGTCTAGTTCCTAGCTATACTTACTTTGCAGCTAAAACTAGGTTGCTCTGACATGAAGTTATCTATATCACTCTGTGCACAGACACAGAAAACGACTACAGTTACCCAAATTCCTGCATCAAGCAGGCCTGGCTGATGTCACTTGAGCTGAAATTTTAGCTGACAATTGCCTGATTGTTTCCAAGCTATGTTTGATTGCTGGCTATTACTAGTTGTACTGCTGAAATGATAAACAACTCTGCTGTGCATGCATATACACAACTGCCCACACAGAATCATGGGTAGGGAACATTCACTTCGCTACATCAGAATTGGGAATATTTTTGTCTTCATAAATACCATGATGTCTCAATGAATGTGTTTATGGGTGCACTGATACGATACCAGATACCAGGTTCATTTATTCATACTCATTAAACTGAACCGGTACCAACATCCGATGCCACCTGTTATCATGTAATGTATGCTGGCAGTGACCAAGGGTCTGCTCACACCGAAGTGCTGCTGATGCCGTGGCAGTTGGAAACCAGATTGTCGGTCACTTTAAACATCCCGCCTGTTCTGTAGTGTTTTAAGCTGTTGCCTGCTGGGCTAAGCTAATGCGAGTGTACAGTGCCTCCCACTGCAGTAAAGGCTCGATTCCAGTGAACCAATGTTTTAAAAACATTGGAGAAAGACAAAACACAAATTCATCTGGTGTTGAAGTGACAGAAAGATAAAAAGTGAAACTGTTTTGTGGTGATGTGAACTCTACCCGGATGGGCTGTGCTAATGCTAGTGTAGTCAGCTGGCTAAAGGCTAGTGTTCTTCAGTATTTCCTGCTTCTGGTTTAGCAGCACAGCATATGAAGAAAGAAACCGCACCAGCGCACAATGGCACAGCATGGCCCTGGGAACCTCTAAGCCATAGGTGCCCAGTCTTCTTTGCAAAGGGCCCTTGTGGCTGCAGGTCTTTATTCCAAGTGAGCAGATCACACCTGATTACACTTGTTTAATCAATTGCTCAGTCTTCAAACAACAGATCATGTGAGCTCCTGCTTTGTTGGAATAAACCTGCAGCCACACCGGCCGTTTGAGGACAAGACTGGACACCACTGCAATAGCCTCTACAGTGAAAAACAACCCAAACAAAACAAGTTATGTAAAGTCTGTAAGACATTCTTTTGGTATAGAGTAGCAGCACTCAGAAGCATGATGTCATTAACTTTACGAAAGTTTACTTACATCTGATATTGTGACACTGATATCTAGAAAACAAACTATATATATATAAATAATATATATATATATATATATATAAATAAATAAAATATATATATATATATATATATATATATATATATATATATATATATATATATATATATATATATATATATATAAAAAAATAATATGTCTGCTTCACAGAAAGCCATAAGACATCGCAATAAAATAAACCCAAATCAGCTCTACGAGTATGAACGAGTATGAACAACCCCATCAGCCAAAAAATGAGCCTGAGTGAGTTCGGTATCGTCAGCGGCTGTAAGGCGATTCTTTTTCCACTGACGTAAAGTTTCCCCTTCTCTCACTCTCTGAAGTTTCTGGCAAAGAGATGGGGTGTTTTTCTGAAGACCCCTCCCAGTTATAAGGGAGAGAAAGAGGGGAGGAGGGGAGAGAAACAGAGGAAAAGTTTTATTCTCTTTATCTTCAGAAATTAAGAGAATAAAACAGAAAGAGATGGAAGAGAAGGAAGAACCACATACAAACAGAATGATAAAAAAAGATGATGAAGAAAGAGGAGCATCTTCACCTAAATGACTCAGTGCTTATGTATGGTCTCACCCTCAGTACACACCCAGAAACGTACACACCTACAGTCTGTGTGCTTCAAGGCACCTCAGG